CACCCACCCGTCTGTCTTCTCTAATGCGAACACACCGCGTGCTCCTACGTGCCCCTTTTACATCCCCCGACACCGTCCATATGAAATGGACACGTTTATGTGAATTAATGTCATTAAACAAAATGGTCCAGGTCTTGCTCCTGTGGGCTTGGGGAGGGCGGGGAAGAGCTGTCCCCGGAGATCTGTTTGCTGCTTTCCGTCTCCAGAGGTTGGGGACGTTGGGCGTAATGAGCTTTTGCAGATTGGCGACGTTTGCAGTCAGGAGTGTTGGCAGTAAGATCATTCCAGAGAGTCTTCAGGATCAAAAGTGACCCAGTAATTGCGAAGGCACTTTCACACGTCCTGCCTCCCTAACCAGCGGGGTCCCGGGGGCGGGGTCTGTGCGCCCCTGGAGCCCCTTCAGACTGGTTGCTCCCCTCCCTCTCCGTCTTGGCTGCCCCCACCAAGCTGTGGACGGGGGCCTTCTCGAGGGTGTGCCCTCCCTTCTGCAGGTCGCTCTGTCCGGCTTCACCCAGGGGGGTCAACAGACTCTTGTCAATGAAAGAACGAGATCCCTGCGGAACAGGCTCCGGCTCTGAGTCTCCTTTGTGTCCAAAGCTCAGAGGAGAGGGGTTGGCAGAAGAGAACCCGCACTCCCCGACCCAACGCTGCTCCGGGCTCCTGCCAAGTCCCCAGCTCTCTGGCTGGCCAAGGGTGTTCACGGGGCTGGCTCCTGCCATCTCTGAGTCTGGGGGTCGTATCGTGCAGGGATTCAGGCAGACCTGGGTGCGAATTATGGCTCTGCCACTGACTGGCACTGTGACCTGCAGGCAGGATGCTATTCTCCTGGGCGCTGTGCTAAACATCTCATTGGAAGCTCACGTCTCCTCACCAAACCAGTGGGACAGACCCCGTCCCCCTGGCTGTCCTCTCACAGGAGGAAACTGAGCCACAAAGAGGCCCAAGAAATCCAGGCCCGTGGTCTCCGTGCCCACGTTGGTGGCCTGAGCTGGAATCTGCACCGGGGCATCTGCCCCGCTGTGCTTTATGCGCCCCCTGCTCTCTGCGTGTGTG